ATTTGTCAAACTCGCAATGAGTTGATTTTGTGAATTGTGGACTGATAGTATTTTCATGTAGTTGAAAATTTTTTCGCCATTCTTTATCAAGCATCTTAATCTTAGCGAATGACCAAAAAAATGCACTTACCTATTTATCTGTCCAAAGTTATTTTGATGAAGCTACAATAACTATAGCATTGAATGAAGTTTCTTTAATATAATTTTCCCTTTGATTTATTAACAGAAGCTAAATATCAAAGTATTTTCAGATTGGGTTCAGTTGCAGAATACCTTTCAAACTGGGCTGCTACTGACTATCATCATCTAACCTCTATTACATACTGTAACCATGCAACTAAGGTGTTGGACCCAATCTCTGTAATGAGGGGCTCAATGGAACTTGCCAAGTTCTTTACAGCTAAGACAATTAATAGGGCCTAAGGAGAGTGTATTTACACAATTAATCCATGTACAGTAATTAAGTGTGATTTATTATTTATTTGGTAAGTGAACCTCCATCATTTGAGTTAGTTTTTTGTTTTTATTTTCCAGAAAAGAATGCACAACTGTTATTTAAACATGGAAGTTGAAAAGGCATTTTGTTAATTATTCCTCTACTTTTTTTTTACACTTTTCCTTTTTCCAGAAAAATCTTAAATGTGTTTGCATTAAATGCAAACTACTACTTATAGGCGAACAGAAAAAAGATCATGATTTTTAACTATCACTTATTGCAGTGGTATGTTGTGTTTAATTGATGCTGAAAGTTTCTTATTGTTCCATGACTGACTAGCAGATGAAATATAGTATATAAACTAATTAGTTTTAAAAAGTAATTAAATGACTTAGGCTACTAACCATGACAACAAACGTTTAGACATGAATTTATTTTTGTAGTGTACGTTTTCATAACTTGTAAATATGTAGTAGAGAAATGTTACCAATAGGTGTACAACTTATTCACACACACACACACACACACACACACACACACACACACACACACACACTACTACTACTACTACTACTACTACTACTACTACTACTACTACTACTACTACTACTACTACTACTACTACTACTACTACTACTACTACTACTACTACTACTACTACTACTACTACTACTACTACTACTACTACTACTACTACTACTACTACTACTACTACTACTACTACTACTACTACTACTACTACTACTACTACTACTACTACTACTACTACTACTACTACTACTACTACTACTACTACTACTACTACTACTACTACTACTACTACTACTACTACTACTACTACTACTACTACTACTACTACTACTACTACTACTACTACTACTACTACTACTACTACTACTACTACTACTACTACTACTACTACTACTACTACTACTACTACTACTACTACTACTACTACTACTACTACTACTACTACTACTACTACTACTACTACTACTACTACTACTACTACTACTACTACTACTACTACTACTACTACTACTACTACTACTACTACTACTACTACTACTACTACTACTACTACTACTACTACTACTACTACTACTACTACTACTACTACTACTACTACTACTACTACTACTACTACTACTACTACTACTACTACTACTACTACTACTACTACTACTACTACTACTACTACTACTACTACTACTACTACTACTACTACTACTACTACTACTACTACTACTACTACT